AAGGTCCAACATCCAACCAAACTCCCCCAGCAAACGTCTCCAAATCAGCCAACAAACACTTCTCAATAGCTCAAGAAGAAGAATACAAGTGGAGTGGAACTTGCGTAGAGAATAAGAGATTAGAAGCCAAGATGAAATAGAGAAGAGGAAGAGATATTTGGAACAAGCTCTCAAGCTTTTCCAAGAAAAGAAACCCTCAAATTTTTAGCAACTTATCTTAAGTTAATCAACAACCTCTTCATAACAAAAACACCTCATATTTATAGTAGAAGAAAAAGGGGAGTCAAACAACCAACTTCCACCTCCAACTGAACCAATCAGGTAAGGGGAAGAGGAAGACCAGCAGGCAACACAAAACAGCTCCCAAAAAGACAGCACAAGAACCGGGTAGAGGCAGCTACAGGAAAGCAGTCAAGGAGGAAACCGAAAAGGCAACACAGGGGACCGGAACCAGCACCCAGCAAATGGGAGGTGAACCAGTCACGGGAACTGCACAAGGGAATAATCAAGGGGATACATGAAGGGGAAGAGACAAGCTCCAACTCCACATAATGAGCTAAAAGAAGAAGAATACCTTTTCAAATTTATGTGCTAAGAAGTGCAATTATTCCTCCAAATAATGAGCTAAACATCAGCTCAAGCATTAATGAGCTAGCACCAAGTAGAACCCAAGTTTTCAGCTCAAAACTAATGCAGTCAAAGCCCAACCCGAGAGCAGCTAAGGCCCAACCCGAGAGGCAGCAAGCAGCCCAAAAAACAAAAGAACCCAAGAAGCTAGCATACCCAAGGCTTGCCATGCCCAAGCACATCCTACCATGATCATTAGATGTTCTCCATCATTGGATAGTATAAAAAAAAAACATAAAACACAACTATAATATTCAAATTACATCAAAATGAAAATAAGCCAAAATATAAATGAATCAAAACAACAGCTAAAAACAATAAGGATAGAGAGGAAGAGAGGTTGTTGGCTGAATTCAGAAGTGGTTAATTGCTGAATTCAGGAAGGGAAGTGAGGAAAGGAGGTTTAGGAGAATAGAGAAAACTTTGGTTGAATGAGGAGAAACTTCTTTGAGGTAAATTTTACCTACTTTTTGGTTGGATTTTGCTAACCTGATGAGTTCCTTAATATTAAGTTAAGCTAGAATGCATTAAATGGTGAAAATGTAATATTGTAATATTTAGATTGTATATAAGAGAAAAAGAGGTTGGGGTACTGTAGGAGAACAAATTCATCCGACTACTCCACAGAACGAGATGAGATACCCAAATTATGGTATAGGAAATAGTAAACTTTATATGATTGCGACCACATTTTTTTATATAATTGTGATAGCATTATTTCCAATTTCATGAAGTATTTAGTTACTGGTTCATTAAGTTCATCAAGTATTTTATTACAATGGCATGTTGATGATTGATATGAGATAAGCTCGCACAAGTAAAGGTAAAAGACCTGGCGAAGTAACCCTTAGAGAAGCTGATGTAGACAAGAGATATAGGGAGCCTATATCTCTTGATCACAATAGACACACAAGAAGAAAACTGACACAATGAGTAGAACTTAAAACAAACTTTATTAAATAAACGCAAACGACCCAAAACTTAACAAAAGATGCTAGGAGATTTTAAAGAAATAAAGAAATTTAAAAAGACGCTATCCTCAGACAACCGTCAGAGCGGGTTCCTCACATGCATCGAATTTGTAGGTTAAATAAGTAAAGTGCATAGAACTAGCAAACTGATGGTCCACCACTGCAAGATTGTCCCAAATGCTTCCAAATCAACCAAGACACGACACCCTAAAGTTGCTTCACTGTTGAGAAGAAGGATACAGATGGAGTGGCACTTGCGGAGAGACGCAGATGTTAGAAGCCCGAGAAGAAAGGGTGGAAAGAGCCCGCAGGATTTCCGGAGGGGATGAGAAAAGAAGGTTGGAAAGAGCCCGCAGGATTTCCGAATAAACCCGCAGGTTAATAGCAAATATGCTCACAAATATCAACTGCTTTCCTTCACAACATCATCTCTTATTTATAGGCAAAGTAAAGGAATGCCAAAAGTCACCTTAGTTAATGTTCCCAACATCCCAAGCTTTTATTTTTCAAAGGATTTCAAGAGACATTTCGGAAAATAGCCCAGCATCTCACGGAACCAAAGAGCCAGCAAGCAGGCCGAAAATTCAAAGCAGCACAGCTACGGGAAAAGCATCCCATTTCGGAAAAAACAAAGGCTGGCTGAATTCCCGAAGGTAAAGCATTAAAATCAATAACTTCCACATTAATATTCTGTATTGAATTCAGCCACCATTAAGAGCAGGCCACGGTTTTCCAAGAGACAAGAAGAAAAGGGGAAGGGGAAGGGACAAGGCCACTCCAAAAGTAAACTTCATAATGAGGTACCTTTTGAGAATTAAAGAGCTACTAAACTTCAGCTCAAGCAACTTAGAGAACAAGCTCAAAACCGAATGCTCCAAAACAGCCAACCCGAGAACCACCACCAGCCAGGGACCAATCGAGCCAGCAAACCAAAGATCTACCAAGCCATATGCACTACCTACCATGATCATTGGATGCTTTCCCATCATTGGATAGCTAAAAAAGAAAAGAAAATAAAATAGAAAACAAAATATACTATTGTTCAAATAAAATAAAAAGTATAGAAATTCTTGATAGCATCAGAAGCAGTATAGAATACCCTACACTCCCTCACTTCTAAAAGTTTGGAATTCGGACCCAACTTTAAATGAGAGAGCTAACCTCAATTCTAAAAGTTGAGAATGCGGGCCCAACATTGAATTAGAGAGTTATAGGTGTACAAAAGCCTATAGTCATCATATGACTTGCCCAAAAATATTGAACAGTCAAAAGAACATGAAATGTGAAAAGTTAAATATATATTGATGTTTGGTACATACTTATTATATAAATCCCCATCTTATTTTAAATTGACTGCAAACATATTTCTTATTTTGTATATTATGCTTGTGTATTTCATTGTGCTCTAGCTCATTAATAGTGATTATACTGCAGGAAAGATAAGAAACCAGTATGACACTAGGCAGGAGGGTTGGCTGCATTTTTTGTGTACATATATTTTGGGTATACATAGAAGTCGGAGTAGGAAGTTGTTCAAATAAACTTTTGGGTATGTAAATATTATTTAAAAATTTAGTAAAGCTCTATATTTCTTTATGTATAGTGTATATGCTTCCAAATAGGAAATTGATAAATAAATTGGTAAAATTGAAAAGTGCATAATATTGGGATAGTCTAGATAGGCTATTCCTACTCACATGATTCTAATAGAAGTATTTCATAATGGATGTTAATAAGAAACATATCTATTCTGATTCTCCTTCTCTATTACACTCCATGTTGATTTTCAGGGGTCAAAATGGGGTGCAAGTCTTTTTCCTTGATCAAAGCAAATAGTATTGTGTCACTCCATGAATAAACTCTCCTAATTTAAGTGAGTTCCCCTACTCCTTCAGGCTTTCATATCACACCTAGCTTTCTTAAAATCAAGTCATCGACCTGAAATTCTCTATATTAAATATATGAGTTGAAATGACTATCCACTCCATTTAGGTAATCTTTGCTTCAAGTTCTATCTTCTCTTAGTTAAAAAATATCTACAATCATAATCATCGTAGAGTGTTAAAAGACACCAACATAAGAAACCAAAAGAAATAGACAAATTAAAGAGAGACACGTCCATAATGACAAAAGTTATCAACCACAAATTCAAGAAATTCATCATCGAGATGAAGGGGAGCATGTCAATGAGACAAAGAGAAAGATGTCAATGGGGTGACAAGAAATTTGTCAATAGGCAGCAAGAAAGTAGCCAACCACAATCCTGAGGAGTTGTCAACCACAACGCCAAAGAGAGCCACCACCCACAGCACCAAGACCAAGGTCATGCGATAGAGAACAAGCAAATAAGTATCCCAGGATCCAAGGAGTTGATTAACCCTTATGGGTCAAGGAGAGAGAGAGATATATATAAAATCATCAGGTAAAGAGTTTGATTGTAATTAACGAACCAAAATTCCAAAACCTATATTCCAATACATCAAGGTATATTTAGATCATCAGAACGATCTAGAAAATGGGAAATAATGATGAATGCGTCTTAAAAAGAGGCCAACAAGAACTTGAGAGTTACTTAGTAGAAATACAACACAAAACAGGATCAGACAAGAAGACTCCAAAAAGGTATATAGAAAAAATAAAAAATTTATTGATCAACCAATTATGCTTGAAAGATTTCAGAAGTAGAAGAAATATCAAAAGAAGTCACATTCATCAATATTCTAAGTTAGCATATATAGGTTCATTGTCATGTAGTATTACTTGATCCAAGTATTTCCATTGTGAAGTTATTAGCACATATGATTTTTTACCACTAAAGCATGTCATCAACACGAATATATCTTGCATAGACTTGGACAAATAAAGAATGAATATGGAAAGGTTACCATTTTACCTCCTTATGGTTAATGTTCCCCAATTATAGCTCATTGAGTAATCATTATGACTCGAGCAGATGGCTCAAGTATGGAGGTTTAGCTATTACCCGGGATAGCCAATGCTAAATTATCAATTAGTCAAATGGCTAATCAAACGTGTATGGACCAAGAATATTTTTAAATTCACATTTTATTTGTCCGTGTGACAGATTTATTGGATATTATTTTTTTTGCATTAACAATGATTCTTAATAAGACACTGAAAAAAAAAAAAAAAGATTGATGTAGCCGACCCCATGTAGTGGGATAAAGGCTTGATGATGTTATTGTTGTAACAATGACTAAAAATGATTAGACATCTTGTTAGTTTATATTTACAACTAAGATTACTAACTTCAAGTAACCAATCACAATAGCAATATCCAAAAAATTTTGTATAAGTCTTTGAACCCAAGTCTGAATTCTGCTAAACAGAAAGCAGTAAGCGGTTAAAACATAGAAGATAAAGCATGAAAGAAAATCGAACCTGCCAATTTATGAAAGGTGACAATCTTTTCCACAAACCCATATGGAGAAAAAACTTGATGCAGCACTTCCACAGTTATGGGGTGGAGCATTGAATGTACAGTAACTAAGAGAATTCTATTGGGCTCCATTCCCTGGATCAAAAGGAAGCAGATGTTCATATACAAAAGCTTAAAAGAATTAAAGATTAAGGATGAAACATATTAAGAACATTTTGCAATAACATGAATAGAAAAAAGTTCAGATAAAGTTAATAATAAAAAAAAGATGAATATATTGCAAACCAACCACTTAAATATCAATCCATAAAGCTTGTTATACCAAGCATATTAATTCAGAAGAAGAGAATATTGAGAAAGATGGGATGGCACATGCAATGATAAGGTGATTATAAACAATCACCTACATAGATGCCATAAGAGAGATGTCAACTATGCATGCATAAATTACAATACAAAACAATATCCAAATAACTGATAAAAAACTCTGATTTAACTTGAAGGTTTTTATTGCTGGACTTCTAACTTATTAAATTATTATAATAGTTAACAATATTTTGTTCAACTCTAATGTTTAATTGGGCAATAAAATTTTCATAAATTAAAAATAAGTCATAAATGAAAAATCACCTGAGAGTAAGAGCAAAATAATCACAATATATGTAAGCAATATAAATGCACCCAAGGCTGAAAGTTAAGTAGGTAATTTTGAGAAATTTTAACAATTAAATCATTGTCTTTTATAGTCCTGATTATCAAAAAAAATTCCAATAATTTCAAAAATAACTCTTAGGAACTCTTTAGTTTATGGCTTGGCATTCATAGTTGTGCTACTAAATTAGTTTAAATTAACTCAAAATAATACACATAAGATTCACTGAGGCACATTTAAGACTTTGTTCACCATTGGAATAGTCTTCAATAGCAAAGTTTAACTGCCTTGTCTTCCCCATGAAAAAAAATGAGCCAAAAAACTTGAGGACGCATGGTTAATTCACTTATTATTCAGCTTGAACTGTTCAAAATAACACAAGGTTCAATAATCTCCCTACTATTTTTTATAATTCCAAACACTCTTAAGGCATAACAAGGGTAAATACCTTCTATTATCAAAATAATTTATACATACCTCTGTGAGCATAATAAATTTTTTCAATTAGAAGATAATTATGAATCTATGATGCACCAACACATCTCCTCAAAAAGACGTGCAGTATCCGACATGTGTCCAACACGACGCGCGTCTGACACTCCTCCGACACGTGTCGGACAAGCCGAAAATGTGTCCGATTAAAAAAATATTAATTACAGATTGGACACACGTGTGTCTTAAATATTTCATTGTTTTTTTAAATATTTTTTTTGTATTTAAAATTATTATTTATTTAAAATATAAAAACTAATTTTTTTATTTCCTATCCACAATACCAAATCAATCGTCTGCACTCAATACCTCGTTCATAGAATATTCTCATTTTCATTTCTCTTTGGTGGGTCGAGATTTTAGTTTCACAACAATGCCCAATGTCATCTCAACATTGACGTCTGACGTCATTACAACATCGACATTTCACAACCATCTCAATATCAAAGTTTGGCACTATCTTGGCATTGAAACTCAACGCTAGCAATTTCTACACCCACAACTTGACAGCTCATCTTTATCTGACGTCTTCTTAACATCGATGACCAACGCCCTCTCAACATCGACGACCAACGCCCTCTCAACATCGACGACAGATGCTATTGATGCCCCATATTTACTGCATAACATCGATTTCCGACTCTCGATAGTATTGTCTCCTTTCTCGATGTCTGATGCACGGCATCGATGCCCAACTCTTGACATTCTAATATTAATTATTTTAAACAAATTCTAATTAAATAACTTATTAATTCTATATTATTTTTAATATTACGATTATTCAATTTTTATACGCTATTTTTAAAATTTAAAAGTTATTATACCGTGTCCAACTGATATTCGTGTCCTATATTTTCAATAATTGTCATGTCCGGTATCCATGTCATTGTATCCGTGTTTGTGCATCATAGTTATGAGCACACAAAATTTTGAATTTGAATTTTTTGAGAGTGAAAGTGTTCATAATTTGCATAATTTTTTCGATGTATTTTCAACTTGCAAACCATCACGATAAAAGATCATTACCTTTACATAGTAGCATAAGTGCGTCGAGTGAAACTCAAACTCCACTTAGATAAAGATCCACTTAAATATTTCCTTAGAATGAAAGTGACTAGATAAAAAAAGGACATTGTTGTTTCTAAAAAGAAATATATTCTATATCTTCTTATGGAGACTAGTATGCTTGGATACAAATATGTTGATACTCTTATGGATAGGTAAAAGACATTTGGCACTGAGAAAGAAAGTACATCTGTAGATAGTGGGAGATATTAAAAACTTATTGGACGCTGATCTATCTTTCACAAACTCTGGCATATATTGGTTTTGAAATTAGTATTGTAAGTCAATTCATGCACAATCCTAAAAGGAACACATGGAAGCAATCTATAAGACTCTTAGACACTAGGGAAAGGTATATTTTTCAGAAAGACTGTGAATCGTGACACTGAAGTATATTTAGATGCAAAGTAAGTAGGAAACATCATTGAAAGAAGATCAACTTTTGGATATTGTTCTTTTGTCTGGGGTAATATTGTTACCTGGAGTAAAATATAATCAGTGCTAGCCAGTTGTGCAAAAGCTGAGTAAAGAGCATTGGCAAAGGGAATTTGTGAAGGAATTTAGATAAAATAGGTTCTTAGTGAACTAGGACAAATGAGTTCATCTCATATTCTGATGATGTGTGATATTCAGGCAGCTATCAGCATAGCTAAAAATCACGTGCACCTTGAATAGACTAAGTATGTTGAAAATGACAGACACTTCATCACTGAGAAGGTGACTAGTGATCATGTTAAATTGAAATACATCCCTACCTAGCAAAAAACTGCAAACATCCTCACCAAAGCTTTACCTACATTTAACTCTGAAGAGTTAATTTACAAGCTTGGATTCTATGATATATATTCTCCAGTTTGAGGGGGGGAGTATTGAATATTTGAAGGTTCAAGTTAAAGGGGAGATTGATTGCGATCTTCTCCTATGATTTTGTTTCTAAATTTTTAAGAAAGATTTAATCTCCTATTATTTTGTTTCCTAAATTTTAGGAAATAATTAAGTTAGTTATTTCCTTTAATAGACATTCATAAAGGATATCCTTAATATGAGTATGGTTAGGTCATTGATCCACTAGAGATAAATTCATGAAGAGACTGAGGCTCCAAATTCTAATACAAGTAACGTAAATTAAAGTAATAAAATTATGAGCAAGCAAGCGAGACAAAGTAGCGTAGATTAAAGCAATAAAATTATGAGCAAGTAAGAGAGACAAAGTGAGCAAGTAGTTACAATGGTTGAGCTATTTCACAAGTCTAAGCCCACTCCTAAACCTCACCATTAAAAATTCCACTCACCTACTTCACTAACTCCAAAGGTTAAGACTAAGCTTCTACCTCTACAAACCAAAGTCAAAAAAAAAGCATTTTACCAAGCTCAAGGCCAACCACTACACTTGGTCTTTTTTCACAAGCTCGGGATCAACCATCAAAGGCCTTTTCACAAGTTAAAGGACAACACATCACAATGAGAGATTTATAAGAACCAAGTTATAACATCATAAAACAAGATCTACAAAAAAGAAATAAAAAGTAAATGATGTCCCAAGGGAAGCACTAATGCGCAAATGTAAAAAACAATCTAAGAATTATAAAATTTTCAATGATCAAAGATATTTAACAAACAAATATCTTAACTAATGTAAGAACAAAGCTAAAGGAAAAAACTAAGCTTCAAAAGTTTTCAACCACCTCCAATAGACAGCTCAAGAGATGTTGAGCAAATAAAAGCTCAAAGTGGAGGAAGAACCTAAGCACAAGAAGTATAGATGAAGAAGAGTAAATCTTATAGCTTGGAGAAGTCTTGGGAGCATGAGCTTAGAGATAGAAGCATTCAAGAATCATTTTAGGGTCACATATATATATATATGTATATATGTATATATATATATATGTATATATGTATATATATATATATTATAGTTTTTGTATAAAAACATCCAAATACTGCCTTGTTTCCATCCAATTACATTGGAAGAATAGAAAATTAATGATTACTATAAATGGTCCTCAATAAATGAGGATCGATGGTTGATGAGTTGGCTCTAAGTGATTTGGGTACCAAATGAGCAACTAAACTGTAGAAAAAAAAATTGGAAAAAGCATAAATAGACTGTGGTTGACCTAGTCAAGAATTGAAGACCAAAAACAACCAACCTCTACCATTCAACCTATAGGTTAATTTTGCTCCAAAATCAAGTGGAGCAACCTAACTCACTGGTTATTTCAAAGAGTTTAGGTTGATTTCATACAACAATTGACAAAACATGCTTTGCTGATTTTCATTTTAAACATTACCTTGATTTTGGTTAGAAATGACTACCAACAATCGGTTAGTAGCACATATTTTGAAAATTCCTGTTGTTAGTAGCACATATTTTGAAAAATCAAGGATTTTTCAAATATGTAGGGTCAGATCATATTTTAGATCATTATCAGGAAAAGAGGATCCTCTGAACATAGTCTTCAACGGATTGGTTGGTCTCAAAGTCGATGTCGAAGAATGGAGACCGGAGGATGTCGATGAACCCTTGGTCGTCAAATATGAAACCGTGATCACATTCAGGATCGGTCATTCATGAGTAAGGAGACCGAGAGAGGCGTTGTTTCTCCTTCCTTGGGTGTAGTATCAAGCATAGGAGAAGGGGTATAGGGGAGGAGGGAGAAACTTGGGTGGCCGGCCAAGGCTAGGAGAGGGGCTGAATTTGATTTCAGATTTTGTGGGTTGACTAGAGAGGGAAATTAAATTTCAAAATTGATATGCAATTTCAAATTTAATTAGGAAATGGATTGAAGATTTTGAAATTTAAATTCCTAATATAAAGAGGGAAAAGGAGGAGGGTAGGGGGTCGGCCCTTTGATTAGGGGTTTGATTAGGGCTCCAAAGGTAAAGAAAAATAATGTAGAAGAGATAGGAGGGAGGGGCCTGATGC